GGAAAATCTAAAAGAAACAGACAATTTTCTGGATAGGTATTACATACCAAAGCAAAATCAAGACCAGATAAACAATTTATATATATATCAATAACCCCTAAGGAAACAAAAGGAGTCATTAAAAGTTTCCTAATCAATTCCACTAAAATCAGGAACAAGACAAGGCTGTCCACTCTCCCCATATATATTCAATATAGTACTTGATGTTCTAGCAGGAGCAATAAGACAACAAAAGGAGATCAAGGGGATACAATTTGGAAAGGAAGAAGTTAAACTTTCACTATTTACAGAAGATATGAGAGTATACATAAGTGACCACCAAAATTCTACCAGGGAACTCCTACAGCTGATAAACACCTTCAGTAATGTGACAGGATATAAGATTTAATCAAAAACATCAATAGCCCTCCTATATACAAATGATAAATGTGCTGAGAAAGAAATCAGAAAAACATCACCCTTTACAATAGCCACAAATAATATAAAATACCTTGGGATAACTCTAACTAACCAAGTGAAAGACCTGTATGACAAGAACTTTCAGTCTATGAAGGAAGAAATTGAAGAAGATAACAGAAAATGGAAAGATCTCCCATGTTCATGGATAGGTAGGATTAACATAGTAAAGATGACAATCTTACCAAAAGCAATCTACAGATTCAATGCAATCCCCCATCAAAATCCCAACACAATTCTTCACAGACCTGGAAAGAACAATACTCAACTTCATATGGAAAAACAGAACATTCAGGATAGCTAAAGGAATTCTGTACAAAAAAGCCTCCTCTGGAGGCATCACCATCCCTGACCTCAAGATCTACTATAGAACTGTAGTAATAAAAACAGCTGGGTATTGGCATGAAAACAAACCCACAGACCAATGGAATTGAATTGAAGACCCTGACATTAATCTACACACCTATTTATATCTTATTTTTGACAAAGAAGCCAAAACTCTACCATGGAAAAAAGAAAGCATCTTCAACAAATGGTGCTGGCATAACTGAATGTCAACATGTAGAAGATTGCAATTAGATCCATATCTATCACCATGCGTAAAACTCAAATCTAAGTGGATCAAAGACTTCAACATAAATCCTGTTGCACTGAACTTGATAGAAGAGAAAGTAGGAAGTAGTCTTGAACACATCAGCATAGGAGAACACTTCCTAAATATAACACCAGTAGGAAAGACACTGAAAGCAAGAATTAATAAATGGGACCTCCTGAAACTGAAAAGCTTCTGTAGGGCAAAGGACACCATCAATAAGACAAAATGACAGCCTACAAAATAGGAAAAGATTTTACCAACCCCACATCTAACAGAAGGCTGATCTCCCAAATATATAAAGAACTCAAAGAACTAGACATCAAAATAATGAACAATCCAATTTTTAAAAATGGGCTATAGAGCTAAAGAAAGAATTCTCAAAGGAAGAGATTCAAATGACTGGAAGACTGTTAAGGCATTGCTCAACTTCTTTAGTCATTAGGGAAATGCAAGTCAAAACAACTCTGAGATACCATCTTACACTTGTCAGAATGGCTAAGATAAAAAATACCGAAGACAGCTTATGGTGGAGAGGATTTGGGGCAAGGAGAACACTACTCCTCTGTAGGTGTGTGTGCAAATGTGTACAGCCACTTTGAAAAACAGTGTGGAAGTTTCTCAGAAAATTTGGAATCAATCTTCTTCAAGACCCAGGTATACCACTCTTGGGCATATACCCAAGAAATGCTCAATCATACCACAAGAATATAGGCTCAGTTATATTCATAGCAGCATTATTTGCAATTGCCAGAACCTGGAAACAACCTAGATGCCCCTCAACTGAAGAATGGATTAAGAAAATGTGGTACATATACAAAATGAAGTACTACTCAGCAGAGAAAAACAATGTCAGCATGAAATTTGCAGGCAAATGGATGAAACTAGAAAATAACATCCTGAATGAGGTAACCTAGACTCAGAAGAATGAGCATGGAATGCACCCACTCATAAGTGGACAACTAGACAACAACCTACAACTTCAGAGAAGCTGGCTAACAAGGAAGACCCAAAGAGGGATGCATGGATCACCCTGGGAAGGGGAAATAGAGGAGATCTCTGTAAGTAACCTGGGCATGAGTGGTGGACAATGGATGGTAGGGGATGAGAACACAAAGGAATGGGATGGTCAAGCTGGAACAGGGAGGGAGGGGGAATACAATGAAAGAGATACCATGCTAGAGGGAGATATCATGGGGATAGAGAGAAACCCAGAGATAGAAATTTGCCAGGAATCCCCAAAGATGACCCCATCTTGGACTACTAGAAATAGTGGAGAGGGTGCCTGAACTGAACTGGTTTACCCCAGTGATCAGATCAGTGAATACCCTAACTGTCATCACAGAGCTTTTCTCCAATGACTGATGGAAGCAGATGCAGAGATCCACAACCAAACACCAGGCAGAGCTCCAGGAGTCAAGTCAAAGAGAGAGAAGAGGGAATCTATGAGCAGGTGCATCAGGATCATGATAAGAAAACCTGCAGAGATGACCAAATCAGACTAGTGGGAACTCATGAAAGTTGGATCAATTGCTGTGGATTCTGCCTGGTACTGCACTAGGCCCTCTGCATAGTGAGACAGTTGTGTAGCTTAGTATGCTTGGGAGAGGGGCCTGGTGGTAGGATCAGAATCCATCCCTGTTGCATGAAGGGCCTTTTAGGAGCCCACTACCTGTGATGGGAAACCTCGTGCAGCCTTGAGGCAGGGGGAAGGGCTTGGAATTGCCTCTACTGGATACGCCTCCCCCTGGGAGGCCTTGCCTTCTTGTGGGCAAGAGTGGGGGATGGGTTGGGAGGACAATGCTGGGGGAGGCAGTAGGAGGGAAAAGAGGGATCTTTGATGTGTAAAGTGAGTGAAAAAAATAAAAACGCACAATCATCACAAAAGAAAAAAGAACACAGCTGGTTATGGCAAAGTCACAACCTGAAGGGATCAAGGAATGCTTTCAGAGGAAGCCAAATCTCAGGGAGTATTTGGTGCTATTTGGCTCTTTATACATCAGCTGTCTTCTCCTATGAATATCATGTGTACCTTCATAGAATTGCTAAAAGTGTGGACTGATCACTCTTTTGACATATTCAATTGAGGTATTTAGAGAACAGCCTCAGGAAAGGCTTCCTTCCGTAAGACCCATCTGTTTCTCCCCTTTTAGCACTGGAATCAGATATCTCCCTTAGCTACATCCAAGGACAAACAGAAATAATAGTTCAGATCACCACATGCTAGTCTCCTAAATTAAGGTAAATTCCACACAGAGACACTGCCTAGGTTAGGGTGGACTGTAAGTTCATAGCTTCATACAAACTAAGCTTGGACCCTCCTTTCTTATACAGCATTAGTGATATTTACACTAACATTATAGACTCCTAACATTTTACCTAACCACTTCTAGGAATGTAGATTGAGCACATAAATTCCCTTGTTGATATATTAACCAATCTTAGCTCTCAGTTAACCTTCTCCTTTACCACTCCATTTTTGGGTTATAAAAGGTAGCGTGACAGTCACTGCCTGAGGAATATTCTTACCTGCCTTTATGACCCTGTAAGAATTCAAGCCTGGTGACCTGGTGTGAGGGAGAGGATTTCTATTGCTTAGGTTTATAACTGTAAACCTCAGAGAATGAGGAGAAGACTAAATCTATTGAATAAGTGCTCAGTGTGCTGAGATTATTTTCCTGAAAATAATTTTCGCTGTTCATAGCTTCACTTCTGGGCTCCTGGAATGACGATTGTTAAGGCTGCTCCTTCATAATTTTTGAGATTTACCATTTTGGCTTAGGATGCTATATGAAATACACTGTTAAAAGTTCTTGGGGAAGTTGTGAATGCACTTAAAATTCTTAACAAAAGACAGCTGATATATCAATAAAGCTGAATAACATCTAACACTGCTTGAGATTTGGGTTCCTCCAGAAGAATGCCATGATTTTTTTCAGGGTTAGCTTTGTCACATTCAGCTAAATTCTTACTACATTCATGAAGCTTGTAACAATGAACTGCTATAAGGATTTGTTTTAGGAAAGGAACTTATGAATTTGAATACAATACTTGGAGGAGAAGAGTTACCACACCATGCCCTACTTATGAGTGTAAGTGGTTTTTACATCATTGAATTTGTGTTAACTTATTGTGAGTCATAGAAATAATACAACACAATTTCTCATGAAAACTTATGTGTGTAAACTTGGAGGGCCATAAACAACAGACATAGTCATTGCAGTAAATCCCTTTCTGCACATACTCTGACTGCTCAAGGTTCAGCCAGTTGTTTAGTGTCTAGGACCCCTCACCAACTTAGAGCTACATGCATGGGTCAATGTGAACATGCAAGGCCAGCCAGCCTCCATGGCAGCTCAAGGGAAAAGCCTGGGACTTGTCCAGGCCTGCCCAAAAATGATCACTGTAACCCACCCACAACCAGTAAATTCAAATGTACATATCCTCACCCAATCATATGACCCAAAGACTTGTACCACCCTGCTTGCAGGTTTCCCCTTTTAAAAACCCCTCACTCTGGGTGGAAGTAGAGGGTGGGTTGAGAGGGAGAGGCTGGAAGGATGGGAGGAGGGAAGAGTGAGATCTTTGATTGGTATGTAAAATGAATGAAAAATTTTTCTTAATAAAAAATAAATAAATAAAAGATCCTCACTCTGAGAGCTCAGGGCCATCCTCCTTAACCCTCTTAGTTGGAGTATTAGACACAAACCCAGTCAGGGCTTGCTTGTTATCAATAAACCCCTATGTGTTTTACAACAGATATTGGCTCTGTGGTGGTCTGGCTCGGTGGTCTTGCAATGTGGGCACAACAGTAGGACAAAAACACACATATTAGGTGAAGAAAGCTCTGTTTCACAGCTTCTCCCTTTTTACAAACAAGATTCCTAAAATCACATGGTTGAGATGTCTGGTGAGAAACAGCTCAGAGACTGAACGTCAGTGAGCAGCAAACCTAGGAGGTTTTTGTGGAGCCCTGGAGCACTGTGGGAGGAAGCTTCCTAGTCTGTTGACAGTAATAGGTTGCAGCATCATCAGCTTCCACAGGATGGATGGTGAGGGCAAAGTCTGTGCCAGACCCACTGCCACTGAACCTGGCAGGGACCCCAGATTCTAGGTTGGATGCTTTATAGATGAGGAGTGGGGAGGACTGTCCCAGTTTCTGTTGGTACAGGTTGATATAAATATAACCAGATACACTTTCACTGGTCCTGCAGGAGATGGCTGCCCTTTGCCCTAGAGACACAAGCAAGGAAGCTGAAGGCTGGGTCAGAACAATGTCACCAGTAAAGCCTGGATTGATAAACACACCTTGCTATCACAGATCTACTGATTGCACCCTAGTGTAAAACCATCTCATATGTGGAATCTGTGTTAGTCATGAGCTACACTCTGAGAAGCCATAAAATAAAAGAAAAACTTAAAAGCAATTAATGTCCTCATTTCAATGATCGGGACACCAAAGCAAGGAAAAGAACAAGGGCTACAAGGGATGTTCCCAACACTGCACCCTCTCTCCTGGAACCCAGAGCAGCAGTACCCACAGCAGGAGAGAAGCTGACCCCATCTCTGTAAGCTGGACTTGAGACTGCTTCACAGGCACTGGCAAGCTGCCTTTAAAGATGACTTGAGGAATCTGAACTGTGGTTAATGTCTCAATATGCAAATCAGCTCAGAAAAGCTTGATTCTGCTCAAAGGACACCTGCTCTTGTGTCACTCTGGGGCTGATAGAATTAACTAAGAGTTCTCTAGAGTATTTTAAGTGTATCCCAAGTGATTTTGTGGCTGGCTCTGTGAAATCATCACATTCTGTTATTTTGAAGTTCCATGTGGGGAGGACACTGTCATTACTCTGCTTGCTGAAAAGGATTGAGTCATAGGAGCACTGTGTTTACTCAGAATTAAACTTTTCAGAAGGATGTCTTTATTTGTAGTTTATGTGTATAAGTGTTTTGTTTGCATGTATGTCTGTGTACCACATGTGTGCCTGTTACCCTCAAATTCCAAAAGAAGAAATTGAATCCCCTGGAACTAGTGGGGCAGATGGTTGGGAACTACCATAGGAATGCTGGGAACTGAACCTATGTCCTCTGCAAGACCAAGAAGGGCTCTTATCCACTTCATCCTCTAACTTAAACTAAGTTTTGTATATCATAGCAACATGTCTTGCATTATGATACTTCCCACCAAGACAAACAATTGGGTTTAATAAGAAGGAGAAAGAACAAGGTGTCAGGGTTAGGTTAGAACCTTCCTATTTAGATAAAAGTGGGAGATGGAGCAGATAGCCATTCCAGCTTTGATCTGGAAGTTCCAACCCCCATTAGCTTCAGTAACTGTCACATCTACAAAACAGGGTCAAGAGAGGACCCAGAAGACCCAAGATCCAGAGGTGCCAGCTCTCTTGGTTCCTGGTTCCTGGACGCTGGAGGTAGACCAAGCAGAGTTCTCCAGAGAACACCGCCAGACTGCGCTACACCTTTCACAGACCCTGTAAACTATCCATTCACTTGTAAGTTACTCCACAAAATAAACCTCCCTTTTAACTACATGCAGTGGCCTTAATAATTTCACCAATAATTTACTGCCCAGAATCACTCAGAGAACCACTGAGCTTTAAGAAATTGGGAGATCTCCAGCAATTTTATGAAGCCTGTAACACACTTGTTCCCTGCCAATCTCCAAAATAGGTGCTCAGTAAGTTCCTTAATATGACCATGGACATGATTAGTTAGCACATTTTTCACATGGGAGCACAAAATATTCTCTTCTGAAAACATTAAGCTTTATTAAATGTTATGAATTGTAAAGACTGGAAGGCAGAATCTGCTTACACAGAATTGTATCCAACATTAGTGTGAAGGGAGAGTTCTCAGTTTCCACAGGTGGAAATCAGATACGGAGAGTTCAGAGGGAGAGGAGGCCCCAGAAACAAAGGGAAGAAATATCACATTTTTCCTCCTTTGCTGGTCTTAATTATGTGGATTCTGGGTATGTGAAGTTCATGTCTCTGTGTGTGTATCTATATGTATATATGTACATGAGTATATGTGCATATATATGTATGTATATGTATGTAATCGATGGGTCGGTGTGGGTGTGTCTGTATGTATGACAGAGACAAAGAGATGAAAGCAAAAGAAACTAGGGAAGAAAAGACAGCAGGAAATGGAAGGGAAATAGAGAAGGTTAGTGCATATGGTCAAAATATATGATATACTAGAAAAACACAACTTTTAAGAAAGAAAATTGTGTACAATGGATTTATATCAATAACAATATTTTAAGGGTCAGCAAGATGGATCAGATGGCAAAGACATTTGCCACCAAGCCTGATGACAAACCTGAGTTTGATCCTCAAAACCCAAATGACAAAGAGACAATGAAGTCCAAGTGCCCTCTGACCTCCACAACTATGCCATGTCACATGTGCACCCAGAAACATGCACAAAAATAGAAAGACAGAGGTAATTAATTAAATAAAATGTAATAAAAGTTAAAAGAATTTATGGAAAGGAAAAGAAAAAATAGAAGAAATGGCCACCAATAAGGAAGTAAGAAAGGACTCCAGAATCTATAAAAAGCTGGAAACACTCTTTCTACAGCCTCCAACAGAAATACAGTTTGCCATCATCATCACTTCAGCCCATAGACTCTTATGATGGACACCAGAACCATAAAAAGATAATTTCCTCATAGTCAAGCAACAGAGTTTTGGGTTATAGGTTACAGAAATACAAAAATAATAGTGAGTTCTCCATTGCATTTTCATATAAAGGTTTTTCATATAAAAAAATAAGAAACATTGAACCCGTCATATTTTGCTGGTCTCTGCAAACATTTTCATCAATGTTTCAGGCTAATCTGTTCTTCTGGAATAAGCTTGAATAAAGACTCTGACTGGACTTGCAGCTGATGGTGACCTTCTCTCCCAGTGACACAGCCACGGAGGATGGAGACTGGGTCATCACGATGTCTGCACAGGCACCTGCAATCAGGAAAACAAGTTATCATACATAATAAAAAAAACACACAGAATTTAATACACATGAAATTTGTCTTTTAGTGTCCTTATAATGCCATATTGTCAGAGTATTATTGCATAAAAATATTACACCCTGGCACAAATTGTAATTTTTTTATATATACAAAGAAATGACTCTAAAAAGATTATAACATTTTTCAATTTCTCACCAGACATCCAAAGCAGTAGGGTCATGAGGACCTGGATCTGTGACTCCATTTTGCTCCCCCTGCCTGTCTAATGCTGCTCAGTATTAAAGATCTGACTGTAAAGGTCTGGTTTATAAATTCTGAGCAGCTGGGCTGGGTCGGAGGGCCCATGCAAAGCAGTCAGCAAATACAAAGGCAGATGCCTGGGCAGTGTGTGTGACAGTGGCTGCTGTCAATCACAGGCAAATATACCATCACCAAGAGCATGAGAAATCACTAAAAGATATTGGCTTATAGCTCTCCAACAGAAATCTACTAGGATCTCTAATAATAGAAGCTTTGGTTAAAATCCAAGACATATTTAAATCAGGTGACCTGTGCAGAAACATTAGGAGAGCTATCTCAAATTGACAGTCCTAAGGAAATGATATGTTCAAAACATTACAACAACAAATTAGGAAACAGAGTAAGAAAACATGCAATAAAAGAAAGGAAGTAGAGAAGGAAAAAAAGAGGAAAGAAAAAAAACAAGAGAATTAATCCTAATTATTTTCATTTCTCCCATCTCCAAAACAACTCTTACAGTAAGGACAAGGAATAGTACCTTGGACATTTGGGTTCCAGGTTCTGGGCCAAACATTGAAGACAGATGTAAAGAGAAGCCCATAATTGCTCTGCAGAAATCCTGGGGACATTAAATTAAACCTGAGATCAGAAGAACTTTAATCTCAAAGCAAAGTTAAACCCAACATAAACTAACACGTATCCTCCCTACAACTTCAGGACAGAAAGAGAACTCTATACTGGGGAAATGGAGAGGAACAAAGAACAAAAGATTTCTTCAAGAATTCGTGGAAGACACACTTGGCCAAGAGTATTTATTCCAGAAATGCATATTCTAGGATAATTTAGATTAGCAGTATTAAAACTGGGTTGATGCTATGGGATAATGCTTCTGTACACTGGTCTAATAAAACACAGTTTGTCCAGTAGCCAGGCAGGAAGTATAGATGGGATAAGCAAACAAGGAGAATTCTGGGAAGAGGAAGGTTGAGTCAGGAGACGCTAGCCCACTGTGCAGTGAGCAGTATGTAATGCCACATATTAAAAGCCACAGAACATGTAGCAACATATAGTTTTAGAGCAATGTGCTGAGTTAAAGTGTAAGTGCTAGTCAATGGTAGGCCTGAGCTAATGGCTGAGCAGTTTTAATTAATATAAGGCTCTGTGATTTCTTGGGTCTGAGTGGCTGCAGCCCTGGTTGATGGGAGAACACTCCAGCTACAGGTTAAGATGGTCTTGCTGACAGAATGAAGAGGGGAAAACCCTTCCCAGCAGGGGGAACAACTATCCTAAATCAGGTAATAATTTTACAGAAACCAATAGACCTCAACATCAGAGATGGTTCCCATCCATAGGAAAAAATGTTTGAATATGGATGAAAATCAACAGCAATAACAGAAATCACAGAACCTGTCTGGACTTCAGGTTAGTGGACTCTGAAAAAATATATGTGTGTGTGTGTGTGTGTGTGTGTGTGTGTGTGTGTGTGTGTGCTGTATTATGTATAAACTACAGGAAAAATGAATCATTAAAATATCACAGTAAGGAGTCAAGGTTCACATCTGAAATCCCACAAGTGGGGAGATAGAAGCAGGAGAATAGTGCGTTTGAGGCCAGATTTGAGGCCGGACTAATCTATGAATGGAAACAATCTCTCAAAAATATGTATTATAAATCAACTGGCTACAAAGCAGCTCATGGCATTTGATATGCAAAACAAAGTAGTTATCTGACATTAATGTTTAAGCATTAAGCCAAAAATACTACTAAAAATTAAATAAGCATTTAAGTAGCATGCACTTACCTTGTATTTTACATTAATCATATAACTTTATACATCTACTTTTCATACACAAAATGTTAAATTATTTCTGATGAGGATTTTCAGATCTCCTCTGTCAACTGCAAACACACCATCATATGAGAGAGATATAGAGGGTGTGGATTAAGGAAGTTCCCAATCTCAAGGTCAAGAATTTGACAGATGGGTAACTGCCCTGGTCACTGTCTAACAAGTTGTCATGTGCTCTCAATCTTTGCTAAACTTTGTACTTTGCTTTGTGACAGCTGCAGTGAGCATAGATTGTGCTTCATGTCATTTACTGATGCTCATTCACATTGGACACATGGAGACTGAGACTGACGTATTATAAATCCAAAGTCTCCTGCAGTTAATCATGTGCTTCTCACACTGTGTATGGGGGGAGCATGACGACTAAAAGGAAAAAATTTCCATGTTCTTTTAAGTATAATAGAAAAAGATGTACAGTCCTTAGTTACTGCTTTGCCCACAAATCAAGTTTCTACACTGTGCTGGTGCATTAGATTCCTTGGGCTGGGATTAAAAGTGAACTAACTACAAACCTGCTGGCTGATAACAACACAGACTAATTTGTTCCTGTCTTATATCCAGGAAGTCTGATGCTGATGACCTTGAGCTCATGGGACACAGCACCCTCTTCCATGGGTACCACTGTGGAATGAGGCCCAGGGAAGTTCTCTTTCATCTGTAAAATAAGCAAAATTGAGGAAGAAGATGTTGTCATTTATTATGGTGGAAAAGGCACTCAATTTCTACATGCAGGACAGTAGCCTAAAATGCAAACCTCCCTAAGTAAATGGTCCAAATGCTATCACGTTACTGATCTTTTGCACATCATTGAATATTTCCTGAAATTGTGTGAGAAGAATAATAGACCAACAAGTTACAGCTGAGTTCTGTACACCATGGGAAATCAGCTTCATTCAGGCAAAACCTTAATGGTCCTTTCAGCTCCACCATCCTCAGTATGGAAAAATGAAGCAGAAGAATAAATATTATCCAATCTCTTCAAAATAAATATATATGATTGAAGGTAAGGGAAGTTCCAGAGTATCAATAATTCTTATTGTTATGAAGTTGTTTAGTGACTTTTATATGGTCTTTTATGCTTCCTTCTCATTTTTGGCTATGAGATAGAAACCAAAGCAAAAACAAAAAATCACCTCATCTGAATAATGAACTAAAAGGAAATCATGATTGTGACTATAAATGACAGGCAGACAAAACAGAAAGAGGGAACAGTATAAGCTGCTGGAGGGAATGCAACCTAGTACAACCACTGTGGACTTCAGGATGAAGTTCCAAAAGAAAACATAAAAATATACAATATGATTTAGCTACTCTTGTACTAGGTATATTCCTGAACAAATGTAAATCTTCATAAATCAGATATACTTCCACATCTATGTATATTGCTGTACTATTCACAATAGTAAGAATTTAAATCAACCCACTGGCTCTCAAAAGATGAGTGGATTTTTTAAAAAAAGGTACATATGGCAAAGAAATTCATACAACTATAATAAAAATAGAAATCACATAAAAGTGTTAAATCTTTTTCTCTGTGACTCAATATGTAGATTTCATTCAAAAAAGACTAATTGTGTACGTGAATACGATACTTATTATTCTTCATTTGGGTATGGAGTTCAGCCAACTTCTCCTGGTCCAGGCTAATGAGTGGCAGTGTTGAAATCTTCTACATCCTTGGTGTTTTCCTTACTGCATGTCCCATCAGTATCTGTGACAGCCATTGGGCAGGGTGGCACATGAGTGGTTGAGTCAGGACATTTGTAAAGTCAAGGTAATCTTAGAAAACTTAGTGAGACCAAACTGAAAAAAAATAAAAGGTTGTACTGCTCTTACAATGAGACCTTTGAGAACCCAGATGAGAATGCAACCTTGAAAACACCGTGGCGATAACTTACTAGAGCCTGAGGAGAGGACCCAGTCATACCCTGCTCAGATAATTATGCTGAGCTCATAAGTCACTGAGTTTGTGATAACCTCTTTTGCAGTACTAGGAAAGTCATACAATACATACATACATATATACATACATACATACATACATACATACATACATACATACACACATACATACATACCATCCTGAGATAGGACTGTAACTTGAAAAACTCAGAGATGTACATTTGAGGATCATTGTGTTGAGTTTTTCACTCAACATGGGGAGGATACAAAAGCCCAAAGAAGGTTCTTAAAGGAGTGGAGTGTCTATGAAGTAAAACTTCCAAGACCATGACTTGTACACTTGGGCCTCTAGAGTTCATGTACCTGCAATGGTAGAACAACCACAATATGAAAAGGAACTGGGTCAGGGTCATGTAATTCCGCAGTCAGGATGAAGAGGCTGGTGGGCTGCAGGTTCATAGTCACTGTGTGCTAGATAGTGATTTCCAGGTCAGCTCAGGATATATAGTGAGACTTTGTACTCCTCCACCTAAGAAGACAACAGAAACTGAATCAGGCAAGAAGAGAATGTGGAAGATATTATAGAGAAAGATGTAAGTATCAAATAAGGGGAAAAGAACAGCTAATGAGTCTAAGCCCATGAAGGAGCATCTGATGGGCAAGGAGAGGCAGATCAGAAGCTAGGCAATAAGTCAGCTGAAGGAGGCTAGGGTGTGTGATCTCCTGAAGGGGAACTTTGAAATCTCAATCAAATAGAAGTTGAAATGTGACATCAGAGTGAGGATGTCAACTCCTTCTTCAAGACTACTAGCTAGCAATCTTCAATATTCAAAGCTCTTATTTTGAGAGACCAAGGAAAATTTCCTGTAAATTTTAAATGATTGTATACTCAGTCTACTGAATATAAAAATTATGATTTGAAATAGTATCATGGGGATCTTTATTAAGGAAACAATCTGAAAAATTATAAAGCATATATGGTAGAACAAACACACATTAGTTTAAGAAATCTCTGTTTCACAGTTTCTTCCTCTTTACAAACAAGATTTCTAAAACCACGTAGTTGAGATGTGTGGTGAGAAACAGCTCAGAGACTAAGCTTCAGTAAACAGCAACCCAAGGTTTGTGTTTAGCCCTGGAGCACTATGGGAGAAAACTCATAACTCTGCTGACAGAAATAGCTCACAACATCATCAGCCTCAACAGGATGGAGGGTGAGGGTGAAGTCTGTCCCAGACCCACTGCCACTGAGC